TGTCCTTTATATTAAAAAACTCATGAACTCGCGTCCGTGTTGTATCGGATATACAAACTCTCGCCTTTAGCTCGAGTTTGTATATCCGATACAACACGGCCGCTCATGTTGTAAATAGTACTAATAAACAGAAAAATGCGCTCACTCGTGAGATGTCATGTTCAACACTCGAAATAAATCTGGTATTTCCGCGCACCCATGTATTATTCTGTATGTAACTTGACAGGAGAAGCATATTTACAACGAATAAAGTTTATAAACTAAAATTTTACCCTTTCCCTCAGATTGTCCAAACTTGACGTCATTGTATACAATATTATATTCAACGGCTCATTTTGAGGTCTAGCGGCTCCCTTGCGCACAGGAGAGCAACACATAGCATTACAAAATTATGTAAATATACAACATATACATAGCTCAGTGTTGAAGAGCAGGCAAGGGGCCTGCATTTTGCGAGCTGGTTGTGGCTTAACGCAGACGTTGTGCACGGAGCAACTTTTGATCAAGATTTTGTCTAAAAATATCCCCAAGAATGGAAGACTGCATTCTGCCCTCTTCTGGCTCGAAGACATTTTTCTGCTATTGTGAGTCAGTGATTTACTTAGTATATGTCTATTATGTGACAGAAAATGACAAGTGTTTTTATAGACTTTACTTGTGAAGCTATTTCTAAAGAGAGCTATTGAAAGCAGAATGTTGTGTTTTAAAGGTCAACACATACAGTAGGTGAGACTCTGCTTTACAACTGCAGTCTGTACTGTAGGTCTCATACAGGTATACATGTCACTGGTATCCCATTCACTTTTGTAAACTAGTACTGTGTGGGCATATTCTTGCACGAAACACATAGGTCAAATAAAATATTTTTAAAAAATTGTGTGTGAACTCAATGTATATCACAGGCTGAAGTAAACTGGTATAAACCAACCTTCTAAAGATGCAAAAAAGAAGTAAAATGACAATAGCAATAAGAAATACAGCTGCTGAAGCTGAAATTACAATGAGAACCCAAGGTTCCAACTCATCTACTTCAATTGTTGTCATTCTTTTTGTAGTATGACCACCTGTTATAGATTCGCTACTTCCAGCACTACTTGATATACTACTCGGTTGTATTTGTGTATGTGTATTTGACACTGTTGATTGTCCTGGCAAGGAAGTTGCTGAAAAAAACAAGTTATCTGTTAATTTTGCTTCACAAGTTCAGAAATAAACAGACGTGTAAAAAATACATAAACCAAAACAATGGATTAAATTTTAACCCAGAGTTAGCGCTAATCATGCTTTGAACATTACTAACCCTTGGTGTATTAATTTGTGATGCCAACTTGTTCACTGTTAAGCATGCTGTTGTTATTGAAATTTGTGTGGGAGACATGGATACTAATGAGGCCCTGTTAGGGGGGGGGGGGGGGGGAATAACCCATAATCCTAGCAAAAATTTCAAAATAATCCGTATCCCATTTCTATAAACAAAAACATCCCTTTAATAATTTAAAGAAATGTGAACAGTCAAATTATTCCACGCGAGATCAAGTGACACTCGAGTGATTCATGCGTGTGATTCATGAATATCACATAAACACGTAAAAACGCACAAGTTGTAACAAACCTGTAGCAGACTTAAGTAGCAATGCTGTTCCAACAACTTGTCAACAGAATGTGTTCACACTGTTTGTTCCCAGCTTGTTGACAAGTTGTTGACAAGTTGTCACCGGCTTGTTGACAACTTGCTACAAGGTTGTTTGAGCTCAACAGACTTGTTACAAGTTGTTGATATCAACAATTTGTCAACAAGTTGTGAGTGACAACCTTGTAGCAACTTGATAAAACTGGAAAATACATGCATGCAGAAACCCTCGCCTTCCTGACAAAACCATTATGTGAAGTATTGTCATGGTAACACGATAATTTTAACAATAGTTTTAAAAATAAAAAATCCCCCCAAAATATCATTTTTAAGGTGGCTCAATACATTTTTAAAAAATTGGAAAATTCGCAAATTAGATGCGTATTTTTGGACAATTATTACTTGTTGATAAACAAAAGGTACCTTACTTATATAAAATAAAATCTAAAGAGTTTGAATTTTTGCACAAAAGTTACGCAACTGGCGTTGCTATGGCAACAATGACGTTTCAAGATGGCGGATATTTTGGCTTTAAAGTAATTTAACTCGTAAACGACATCGGTGACCCCCAAATTTTATTTAAAAAAATGATTTCTCTTAGTATAATCAATTATTTTGGCAATTAAAAAAAAATTCTGTGGAGCCGAAATTTTTTAAATTACGTAAAGGTGATTATTCATAATAATTTTTTTTTGGCTCCACAGAGTTTTTTTTAATTGCCAAAATAATTGATTATACTAAGAGAAATCATTTTTTTAAATAAAATTTGGGGGTCACCGATGTCGTTTACGAGTTAAATTACTTTAAAGCCAAAATATCCGCCATCTTGAAACGTCATTGTTGCCATAGCAACGGCAGTTACGCAACTTTTGCGCAAAAATTCAAACTCTTTAGATGTTGTTTTATATAAGTAAGGTACTTTTTGTTTATCAACAAGTAATAATTGTCCAAAAATACGCATCTAAATCGTGAATTTTCCATTTTTTAAAAACTGTATTGAGCCACCTTAACTACAAAATGATCAATTTCCTAAACATATAATATGCTAGGTATGTTATTATACGTAATATAAGCTTCAATTTAATGTAAAAAACAACCACAAATGCCTCGCAAAACGTTTCAAAATGTTGTTAAAACTAAACTGCCTTTTATCGGTAAACATTGAGTTTCAAAATTGAAATAAACTGATTTCAAATTCTTGCATGAAAATAACTTTGCTTTCCTCTTTATTTAAATATTTTAATATACAAAGGGTAATTAATAAAAATACACTCAAATTACATGCTGCATGTCTTTTTTCACTTATATATATGCAACCATTGTATCAGTTTTTAAAGCAATTATAAAGCAAACAATACATTATATTAAAAACAAACTTTACCTTCATTAACGTCGGCGAATTTGCTCCGTTCTTTTAGACGTTTTTAGGGGTTTGCTGTTCTTGACAGTCTGCCACATATTTTGAGATCAGTGAGGATGACCACCCACGCCCGCGATCATTGATGAACTTTAGACTTCGCTAATGCTTTCGTTTCCTCAGGTGTAAATAGCCGGGTGGAATTAGTACCCTCGCCCCGGGCAGAGCGCCGTTTGCTCAGGGATAACAGCATTGTTACAACTTGTAGACAAGCTTGCTACAAGCCTTTTGCGAACGCATCTTGTTGACAAGTTGTGAGATTTTTACATGTGTACATGTTTGCACGAAGTTCGTGCGTGTTCCATCTCAAATGTGCGAAATGGTAAATAATTAAAAATTTTCAGCACCTTTTAATGGTGTCTCCAGTATAATGAAGATATTGATATTGACTGGCATCTTATGACCTCTTGCAAACTGAAAATTGTACCTCTTATTTTTATTTTCAATAGCAAACATAGATGATCTTTGCATATCAATAATCCTAAAATCCTATCCAAATAATCCATAATCTTTTTTTTTAACCAGCAATAATCCGTAATCCTGCCCAAAAATGCCAAATAATTCGTAATCCTAAAACCCTAACAGGACCTCACTAATTTAGGTGCTTCGATGGATACTAATACGGGGCTTCGGTGGTGCAGTCCTCGGAGCAAGTGCCTTTCATCTCTGAGAACATGTGTTTGATTCTTGCTATGGGCTCATGCGAAAAGAGTCAGTCAACGTTCTGTTGAAAGTCATGGGTTTTCTCCGGGCACTTCGGTTTCCTCCCACAGAGAAAGTTGACAAGGTGGGTTAGGATAAACATACTACATAGTTAAGAATGTAATATCACAATTGTTGTAAGATAAGTAGTCTAGGATAAGTTGGTAATACAAGTAAGCGTAATACTTGATGTCATCGGTCACTGCAAAGCCCCGTTAGGGAGTGAACTGAATACAGACCTGCCAACTCTCACAGATTTCCTGTGTTCCTCACGAATTCAGACATTATCTCACGGACTCACGGAAATATTTTCAAATCTCACGGAGTCACGATTTTGAAATTTTAACCACCACTAGACTTTAAAATTGGAGTGATTGAAGTGAAATAAAACTAGCCATTGACAGTAATTCTAATTTGTAAAAAAATCTCCAACACTATTAGTACTTATTTACTCACTACCAAGTAGTACTAAGTGCTCCGCCATTTTGAATAACCTAAGCAGTATGCTCCATTAGTGTATCGCCGGTGCAGAGCGGGAAACTTACTGCAAGAAAATGGCGGAAGAAGATCGAAACTTCTCAAATTGGCTAATGGGCTATTCCTGTTTTATATTCACATCATCCCACATTGAGGAACTTGATTTTTACCAACCCCC